CTCTTAGAGCAAATGATCAACTTGGAGGGTGTCCGAGATATAGGCACCTGGTCAATATTTAAATCAAGCGCTGCTACGCCGTGGATATTTGTTAAGGAACAACAACTGATATGCTTGGGTCTCAACGTGCGGGCACACGTACGGGCCAACTGCAGCGATGATGTTGAACTTCTACTACATCAGTCCCATTATTTGTCTTGCTCACTTGCTACGTCAATGACGATCACGTATTCGGTTCACTTCTCTCTTCTTGGATCGTGGCCCCGCGTGGCGACGCTGGTGCATTCTTAGCTAACTTGGCCCAAGCGCTCGCGACCGCAGGTGCTACAGCACAGTCTATAAGTTAGACTTCATTTGCTTCTGTCCCTTTCGCAACCGACGTTTCTATTCGGCATGCAGTTGTGATTTATCATGTATCTGGGCAACCTTCCTCTTGGTTGTCGCAATCGGTGCAGATCGACTGCCGTCGCTTCTCAACATCTCAAATAACATTACTTCTTGATAAACTCACCTTGACCATGTCCTCTTGACCTGCCTTCGGTCTTCCCAAAAGGGACGGTTCCCCGCACTGAGTTGTCCATATAGCAGCTCTTTCGGCATCCGGGTCGAACCCATGTGGTGAACTTGCCAGATACACCACAGCTGCGTTAGCAGATGTATGCAGTCTACTGCATACACACAATACTCGGTCACCCCAGCTGATACTCAGGACACGACGCAGACACTGTTGCTGAAAGTATTTCAGATAACCGCCGTCCTTTCGGTACATCGTCCAGATTTAGCTTCCCTAATGGGGAACGGACAGCAACATAGACTTAGCTACCATCAGCTACCTTCCAGCATCGATCTTCTGGTTGTTCTACACACGTTTTTCCAGCTTGTTAAACGCGACCGCCACCTTCAATACGCGCATGTACGGCTCGCTTGTTATCCTTTAGTCGGTAGATATTACGCTACCTAGACGGCAATATCTCGAATTGGAGTCCGAAACGTCGTTGCTAATGTATATTTGCGGCAGTGCAATGGATTTCATTTTTGTAGAAGACTGCATTTAGCAGACAGTTTTGCATTTTTGTATGGTGAGCCAGAATTTAGCTGCAGTCAAAGCGAGAGCCAAAGTCACGCGCTGCAACTCATTAGCCCTGTGTACAAACTGCGTACAATCGTCCGCAAACAGAAACGTACAGATGGTTGTCTCATACACTGAGGTTCTCGCCCCGAAACAATGGATGTTCAGCAACCCACCATCAATACAGTACTCAACACGTACGTCGTAATCACAGGCCGAAAACAATACAGCATTACATGAAAGTAAATAATATACAGGGCATGGGCTAAAGCACAGCTTTGCTTCACACCAAAGACAAAATCAAAGTTATCAAAGTTATATGTCGATCCCGTAGTCAGCGAGCTTCATCGCGAACAGTGCAGTGCGTAGCTCGGATCATTCCATCGAGTGTCGGTGGAGTAGAGTGCGCACCTTCCTACACGCGATGTTGAGCGCTTTGCGCGAAAGCATACGATTGCGGTGGCGAATGGTGGCACCTGTACTTCCCTGGATTGAAGGAAGTAGTGGGTCAGGTGAAATGCGGACGGGCTGACTATGGATAGGGAAGGAAGAAGAAAGAAGGGGGCCGCAGCGGTAGCATTTTTTGCTTATCCTCCCGTTGCGTGCAGCTGATAAGCCGCCCCTTTTTCTAGTACCTCTGCGCAACTGCCGATGCAGCATGAGGTCATCTGTGTTGTCGTAGTCTATAGGTTTTTGACTAGGGCGTCCATATCTGACAGGAGAACTACTCGGGTCCTGAGCCAAAGTCTTCGATAAAATGTATACCGGAATGGCAGCGGGTCATGTGCTATGAGTTAGTGAACCGACTCACGCGGAATTGTGTGTCCTAGCTCTTAGATAGCAGAAGGTTGTAATTGGCCTCCAAATCAACGGTAACCACTAGGAGGAGTTCAGGATATGACCCCACGGCAAAAAATTGGCAGCAGCGGGTGGACAGTCTCTCCGGACCTCGTCGCCGGATGGCTCAGGGTACCATGGATTCTATCGCTGCATATAAATGGTTGGAGGCATGCGGTTCCGAATTTATATGTCACTGTAGCCTTCACAGGAGAGTCACAGGACGTCTGCGCTTACAGAGGGAACATGGTGGCTTGAGCAGCACCACCCACACTATCCACACATGCCACACCCAGTGTAAACCCAAATAAAAAGACCGGGAGGCACGTGCATGAGAACCACATTTCTTCACGTGAGTCCGCCCACACTTCCTCAACTGGTACAGCGGCAGAATTCTTGTCTATGTATCCAGTTACTTATGCCAACCGAACGTACAAAACTTGGTGGCTGGGCCGTAGTCCGCTCCAAACGAGTGCAAGCAACCACACTTTGAGCCTGGCACGGCCACGATAAACGTGCACCGCTCCATCCCATTAACGATTCTTAGTCTCCTGGGGCTAGTAATCGGGGTAGATGGTGTTATACGTTTAGACACCTTGTCAATATTCGCATTAAGATCTGCCGCTTCAGGGATTTCAAAAAACCAGCATAGAATTTAAAGGAAAGCAAACACACTAAATTGGCAGTGGATATGCAGCTAAATTACAGACTTGAACAAACCCAATAGAGTGTAATGGCTTTTATTCACATTCAAAGGACCTTGCCTAAGTGTATGTTGGTTTAGCCAAACTTTTGTGAATACGCATCATAGATGCAATATATATATATATATATATATATATATATATAAGGCTATACGGTTCGGCAGCCAGATCGTTATACTCTAGCTTGATCCTACAATAGTCGAATGTGGATCCTCTATTTGGTATATAGTTAATCACACTTAATTTATTGCTTCGATTTCCCCTGCATTTTGTTCAATTTTTCGAGCAGTTTGTCTAGGTTAATTGTGGGCGTTTTTGCTTAGTATACTGAAACTGTGTCCGGGAAATCAACTCTACTGCCGATGATTAATCAGAACATATTTGGTTTGCTGGACAACCGATTCAGACGTCGTGGTACCAAACCCAGCTGTTTTGATATCATTCAAGGGAATCGGTTACGTGAAGTTTTGCACAATATGAACATTATGAAATCGACTGACGAGAGTTGTGTCCTACATATCGAGTCTGTTATTATTCGCCTATTGAGTCATCGTACTCAGCGCTGTGTTGAGTTAGATCTAGGCGCACTTTTACTGAAGAAGTAGGGAGAAATCAGCAGCGCGATATGTGGAGGTTCGGCAATTTTTCCGCAATATACCATTGATCATGGTAAACAAATTCAGCAAATAGACGTTGGATCAAAATGACTCAACCAACAGGGAAAATATAATGTGAACACGCAGGTTCAAAGCACGTGAATCTCAGCAGAACGACAAAGGAATAGGGATGGGATGAGGTTCAATCCACTTGCCAAACAAAGAGTGGCGAAACATCGATTGAAGCTTGGAGTTAGACCGGAAGCATGTGGAAAACAGCAAGTAAGCGGGCTTGGGTTGGCATTGCCTCATTGACGTATTTCGTCTTGAACGAAAGCCACCTAGATCATTTCTACTCGTTTTAATTTGTCAATGAGCTGCTCAAACGATGTGAACAAACTATGGGCACCTTGTATTCTTCTGTTGTTGCTATTTCCGATACAGGCGGGATCCTGCGCATGTAACAATTAATACAGATATCGGTTATTGTGAGGGGAATAAGTACTTCTGTAGAGCTTTCGGTCTTTGAGTAGTTACGACAGCGAAACATATACTAGTGCTATTTTCCCATTTCCTGCTACTCTTACAGTTGCTCCTAACTTAATATGAATCAATATCAGAAGGCGCTTCACGGTGTAGATTTATTTTCGGTAAACTCTCGTTTGACGCAAACGGTTACATAAAACTGATTTTGGGGAAAGCGTCAACTCGAGCTGGGATTGACTCTGGACGGTTTGAAAGATCAAAAGCGATACCTTCAGAGAGGGATACAGATGGTAAGCCAAGTGATCTAAATAAATTAAAAAAACAGTAGTCCGAAGTAATTAGGTAGGTAACGTAACAACCAACTAACTAACAGTGTCCGTTGATCAAAGTAGTAGTATCGGGCTTATGAATCGTTTTTATACACATAATTCCGGCTTCCGATGGTGAACGTGGACAGCCCGAGTCGACGCTTTCCCCAAAATCAGTGTTATGTAAACGTTTGGGTCCGATGAGAGTTTACCGAAAAGAATTCTTCACCCTGAACTGATTGCTGATATTGATTCATATTAATGACATGGGAATATTTGCTTTCTGGAAGGCCAGCATTGCCCGTGATTCATTGAAACTATTGAATGAGTATTTGAAGTTCAATGCTCCTAATTTCCAAAAGGATCATTCAAACGAGCAGTCGGGCGATTTAATACTTTGCATCATTTCTTATCCAAGGAAGCAGCTTTTGGAACACATGTTGAATACATGCATCCGCACTACGCCGATGCATTGCGCTGACGGTTCGCTGCCATGGGGCTACCACCGGTAGCGCGCTGGCTAATTCTTCTTCGAGGTCGCTCGCGTCTACGCAGATCCGAACTCGTGACCCATGTACTTCATGAAAGAAGCGCGATGTCTTGGGCCATCAGCCATTGTTTCATCCCGCTGTACTTTTGCTGCGTATAGACGGAATTGCTGTTGGCGAATCACATACACGTAGACCTGTGCGACACACGTCGTGTGCCCATGGACGATGATCGATGTTTGCTCGGTGGCTAAAGACGCGCTTCTGTCAATTTCAGGTCTGAGGTTTGATGACTTGACTGGCCCTATGGTATCTTCAGCTGATTACCGTTTATCTTTGCATAACGAATAAGCATTATTACTACTCCAAAAGCGGGTATGCGACAGCATCTATATAGACACTAACAATCCCTCTGAGTATAAAGCGCAAAATTCTATCTAACTACCAAACATACTGCACGATGTGCATCACCAGAAAGGATTATGACAGTACTTGCTCTGAACATTTATAAATTATTCGTAATAAAACTTACGCCAACACCTGGGAGGGAGTTCGTCTGCATTTATGGATTCAGAAGAATCCAGTTTGTCCGATTGTAGATTAATTCCAGCCCCAAAAGCAGTCGATCGCTTCCAGCTTTGCAATAACCCTTTGTGATGAGCGAAATTCTGCGGTTTTCGCATTTCCATAGCAAGTAGACCAGACACTTGGTAGCGAGAGTCGAGGTTACAATGCAAAGTTGAAATATACCGATCGACGGAATTTGCCTCTACGGACCGACAGCGTCCATCGGTGTCAAGTTTAGTATCCGAATCAGATTCTTCCTTCATGGTGCAACTAATCTAGAGGATAGTAAATATTAAGCCAACGAAAGTGGCTAGGATGGTGTCATTAGCGGTAGTCCATCACAATTTTCCGATCACGGGTGTAGTACGAACGTAAACCTGCACCATTGTAAGCCATGAAACAACCTCTGCGGCATGCTTTCGCTTACGAAGCTTGCGATAGGCCGCAGATCGATATATCAGTTTGAAAGAACACAGCTATGATCACATGTCCCGTTGACTAAACGGTGCATGACTTGCGTTCCAGTTGAGTGCCTTTTGCGCTTTGCTATTAACGGATCCAGTTGCGCTCAGATGTATTAGGACTCAAAATAATCGGCACGACATTTCGGATTCTAGCTACTTTAATTAGGGTTTTAAATCTGACTTGTCTGACGTGAATACCCATCCATAAACAGTCCTGTTTGACTATTAAGAGCTTGCCGAACAACCTCCTCGTGGTGCCAGCTGGGTGGTTCGGGATTTTCCCGTTCCAGCGAATGGTTCGGCGGCAGTGTTCCAGGACGTGGTGGGTTTTCGCCTGGCAAGCGTTCTCCCTATAAAAAGCCACACATGTCCGTTTAACAACACTGCGACGTGGCGGATGTGACTCGCCACTAAATAAAGTCACTGCACCTTGCCCCTCCCTGAGAGGCATTGTACTTTAAGGGTGAGTTGGGCCCCTGGTCCTTCACGGACCGAAAGGCGTATGAACCATCTACTTGGTCACCGGCTCCCAACGGGTTGCGACGCCTTCACATCGCCCTGCTGCCTTGTAGGTTAGATCTTTGATCAAAGGCTCGGGGTAAGGCCCCCTAAGACAACCCTCTACTTCGGCCTGGGCAACCGGGTAGTATCACGCCCGCTGACGAATCATGGACGACACCGCTCACTACTACTACTGCTATGCCGCTCTTCTGTCTTAACTCAACCGCTCAACGTCCACTCACAGACCACCCCACCCCCCGTCCTTCACCTACATGTACTCTTGTGTCTTCTACGGTCACCGTCACAAACGACCCACGTCTCGCAGCTGATGGAAGTAACAGCCAAACTCCCGGTTTTCAATGTCCTGCGATCGCAACCACCTCTCACTTCACCGAAGCTCCAGCTCTTCTTCGACCTGGTTCTCCATTCATCCTCGCAGCGTTTAATGTTCGAACTTTGATGCAGATCGGACGACAAGCATGTCTGGCCCGTACTCTTGAAACGCTATCGGTAGACATCTGTTGTCTTTCAGAGACCAGATTACAGGACTCTAGCGCCGTCATCAGAATGACCTCTCCGGTAAACTCTGACGCCAAATACTACTTGCGGCTTTCCGGAGACCCAGAAGCTGCCGCCACTGGTCAAGCTGGTGTTGGGGTTGTATTAAGTGCCAGGGCTGAATCAGCTCTGCTTGACTGGATCCCAGTCAACAACCGACTATGTGCAGTCAGACTAAGAGGTTCATGTAACGTAAACAGGCGTCGAGATGTTAAGCGTGCCTTGTTTGTCGTCTCCGCATACGCCCCTACAGACTGCAGCCCGGATGCAGTTAAAGATAGCTTTTACCAACAACTACATGAACTTCTGCGTTCCTCCAAACGGACGGATATAGTCATTCTTGCCGGGGACTTTAACGCATTGGTTGACCGCATTTCACCTAGCGAGCACCACCTTTGGGGTAGTTTTGGTCTCGGTGGCAGTCGATCAGAAAATGGAGACAGACTGCTTGCTCTTTGCTCTGATCATCGCTTGTTTCTCTCGAGCACTAGTTTTCGGCAGTCGAGGAGACACACTGCTACCTGGCGCCCGACCTCACAAACGCAAGAGTGCTCCCAGCTTGACCACATAGCAATCAGCTACAGATGGCGCGGAAGCGTAACGGACTGCCGATCGTACTGGTCAACTTTTCTAGACTCTGATCACGCATTGGTTCGTGCTAAGATTTGCATGCGTTTCGGAGGATCACCTAAGCGCGCCCCCTACCGACCGGACGTCGCGAATCTACAAAACGCTGCGGTTTTAACCAGGTACCAAGCCTCACTGTCAACTTTGCTTGGCTCAACTATTGACGGTGATCTCGATTCGCAGTGGGCGCATATCAAAGATGCGTTAGTTTCCGCCAGTATCGACACTTGTGGGGTTACCCGTCACCCACCGAAACATTGGATTTCCGCTGACTCCTTGTCGCTGATGGACAGACTCCGCTTGATCCCATCGGATTCCAGACACGTTGAAGAACGCCAATACCTTGGTCGAGAGTTGCGCAGGAGTCTGCAAATGGACCGCGAAGCTTGGTGGTGTGAACTTGCTAGGGAGATGGAGCTTTCTAGTCTCTGTGGTAATACCAGGAAACTCTTCCATCTCATTCGAGTCACCGAAGGTGTTCGATCTGGTATATGTGAAACAATATGCGAAGAGGATGGCACCTTAATCACCAATCTTCAACGACGGTTGGAGCGATGGGCCGAACATTTTGGCTCGCAGTTTTCTTGGCCCCCAGCTCCACCTGCTACCTCTGGCGCTCGCTCTGGGGCCGAGTGGTCTACCCCAACAGACCCTCCCTCTTCCCAGGAAATCGAGCAGGAGCTCCGGCACCTGAAGCGTTATAAAGCTCCCGGCCCTGATGGTCTTCACCCAGCTCTATTTAAAGATGGTGGCGCATCGCTGGTCCGAGAACTCACCGCTTTGTTCTCGAAAATTTGGTCGAAAGAGAAAGTTCCATCATCTTGGGGTGAATCGATAGTTGTCCCCATCTTCAAAAAGGGCCGGCCCACAATCTGCTCCAACTACAGAGGAATAAGCTTAGTCCCCGTCGTTTGAAAGCTGCTGGTGTCCATCATACTTCGCAGGCTCTCCCCAACACGCGAATCGTTGCAACGAGAAGAACAAGCTGGGTTTCGCCCTGGTCGCGGCTGCATCGATCAAATCTTCACACTTCGCCAGATCCTCGAGCTCCGCCATGTGTATCAGAGGCCAACGATTACTGTGTTCCTGGATATCCGTGCAGCCTTCGATTCTGTCGATCGTACAGTACTGTGGCATTGCCTTCTGAGGAACGGTGTCCCCGAGAAGTTCGTCTCCATACTGCGCGCTCTCTATAGTCTGACCTCGGGCAGGGTTAGGGCTTATGGCATGCTTTCGCCTACCTTTGTGGTCTCCAGTGGAGTTCGACAAGGATGCCCTATCTCTCCGTTCCTATTCAACTTTGCCATTGAGGATGTCCTGAAGAACGCTCTGAGCGATTCGTTGAACGCTGGCGTTGAGCTCCTCCCAGGTAGTCGAGTTGTTGATTTGGATTATGCTGATGATATCGTCTTGCTGGGTGACGATCCACAGGTCGTCCAACTTGCATTAAACCGCTTGACGATTGAAGCATCAAAGTACGGTATGTACTTTTCGCCATCCAAATGCAAGGCTCTCCTTCAAGACTGGCAGGTGCCTCTGCCAGCACTCACGCTTGCTGGTGAGACACTGGAGGTTGTGGAGAGCTTTGTCTACTTGGGAAGTTGCATCACTGCTGGCGGGGCTGTTGGAGACGAGATTTCGATGCGCATCTCGAGAGCACGCCTCGCTTTTTCTAGGTTGAGGCACTTGTGGCGTCGCCACGACATTCGTCTCTCCATCAAAGGGCGGGTCTATTGTGCAACTGTTCGTGCTGTACTGTTGTACGGATGCGAGACCTGGCCCATTCGTAAAGATGACTTGCGCAGGCTATCCGTCTTCGAGCACCGCTGTCTGCGGTCCATTGCCCGTGTGTGGTGGCAGCACCACGTAAGCAATGTGGAAGTTAGACAGCGTGTCTTGGGACGTGGAAGCCACTCGCTCGAGGAGCTCATCTCACTGCATCAACTGCGGTGGTTGGGACACGTATTGCGAATGCCTGTCCAGCGTTACCCCCGTCGTGCGTTGTTTGCACTTGCTGGACAGGGCTGGAAGAGACGGTCTGGTGGACAGCCTACAACATGGAGAAGCCGCATGAAAAAGTTGACGAAACAATTGGCTTCGGCCGGTTGTTGTCGACTACCTGGTTGGGGTCCGAGAGATGAGGATACTTGCTGGTTGAAGACCTTGGAAGTTATGGCTCAAGATCGATGTCAATGGCGGACGTGCGCATCAGTGTGTTGCGGTATCCCTTCTTCCTCCCCCTAAAAAAGAACAAACTGAAGAAAATTTCAAAAACTGTGAGTGGTAAACTTGACAAAAAAAGCATTTCTTGTTGCTCTTTTTTATTATTCATATTGTTTTCCTATTCAGCCATGATTCCGATGGCACAATATCTGTACCACAGATTGTGTATAATATATATATATATATATATATATATATATATATATATATTAAGAGCTCTCGATGACAATCAGGAGTGTTGAAAGTCATGATTACTACCGATATTACATATGTACACAACGCGTGATTGTTCTAGGATAGGATGTACACACAATTCTGTCTTGCAATCAGAAAGTGGAGTTTACCGTCCCTTGTCGACAACACTGAAGTGGCACACGCTGAAGTTCTGCAAAGGGGAAGGAATAGATTCCAACTTATCTATTAGGGACTTATAACTCAAAAATTGATTGAAAAAGGTTACTTGTTTTTCCACCCCGTTCCTGTTAGCATCCCCGTACAACGATGATCTCAATTAATAGGCATTAAATCACATTACGCGGCACAATAGCCAGAAGTTAGCTCTCCGGAAAGATATCCATCCTTTACTCAGACGGCGTGCTTCCCTCACACCTTTTTTCTTTTCCTTTGTATGGCGGTACCATAACTGAGGGGTTTTCCACCTGCAGCTAGCGTGTATAATGATGATGATGATGACTTATAATTAGAAAGACTTGGTAATATCTCTGAATATATTCACCATTCGCACTCACAGGTACATTTTCTGCTAGCATCATAGACTAAGCAGGGGATCCCAAATCGTGCACTGTGACACGAATCGGTGACGCACTCACCGCGGACTTAGCATAGTGTAAACAACGGGGTGTTTTGACAAGGGGTCCCTGGATATCTCT